ATAGTTATGAACAGGTTTTGTTGGTTAGTTGGTTGAAGCTTTTTTGCATTTTCTCTAATGGCTAATGTATTTTCCAACTCAGGTACAGTCTCTAGTATTTTTAATTCCAAAGTGTAAAACAAAAAAACCCAAAGATCTAAGAAGCCTGTTGAAAAGGCTTCTTAAGATGGTTTTTTAAAAATGAGTTATTATAATACTCATCTGTTTTAACATCTTTTTTTTTAAGTGCACTTTGTCTGGTGTCCTTAATTATATACAGCTGTCTACCATTAATATTGTCAGATGGAGAGTGGAAACAAGGGAAGGATATGCAGTCAGCAATGAAGGCCTGTTTGAAGAAAGTTCACTGCCATTTCTCCAGCCATACCCTTCCCCCCACATCAACATATTGATTTTGTTTTCATTATGCTTAGAATAATCCAAACATTTGTCAGCTGCATCCTTAAGCATGTTGTAACCAAAGAGTTGTTTTCCAAATAAAGTGGGGAAATCCTTCCATTGCCCGATGATGAGTTTCTGTTCAGTCTGAAAATAAATATTAATCTACAGACTTCTTGTCTTGAGAAATTCCAGTTTCTATCAGTTAGCAATGGAGGGGATGATAATTCTGGTGATGAATTATGCATTAATTGTTTTCTTCTGTATGGGAAGGAGGGAGGGAGATTGACTTTATGACTGCCTCTCTCTAAAAGGGTTACGAGGCCTCCTTTTTTATTGTATGCACCATTCTTTCAAATCAATATTTATGCATTTTCTCTAATGCTAATGCACACTGATCCATTTGTTAAAATAAACAATAAAATCTGACCTATTTACAGTGCTCAGTGCTTGCAATTCAATGGCACTCTATCAGATCAGATCACAAGAAATTGTCCAGAAGAATAGTGTAGATCGAAATGGGGTGAAATTATTTTTATCAGTATGTTTTTAAACTGCAGCCTTTTAATCTTGAAGGGTTGAATTTTGGTGGGTGTTTAAATCACATGGACCTATAATTGTGTAGGCTGGATATCAACATCTTCTTAGTACTTGAGTATGTTAGCAGAAATGACGGCTATTGATGTAGAACTGACTGTGGCAACAGAGATAAAGATATGATATTGAGGGAGAAGGAGCTGTTGAACAGATCCCAGAAATTTTAACTCAAAAGGATACACTAAGTTATAGATTATATTGAAGAGAACACAACAAGATTTCCTCCTCCTCCTCCTCCTCCTCCTCCTCCTCCTCCTCCTCCTCCTCCTCCTTCTTCATTATTCAACCACCTCTTTGGTTGTTCTGATCTGAAAAATACATTCTGTGAGACATAAACTTTCTGTCTTCCTTTAGGATTTCATTTGAGCTTGGAAAACTAAGGAGATTGCAGATCCATTTGTTCTATAGCCCTTCTCAATGTGACTCAGGGCGGTGACAGCCAAATGACTACAAAACATACAAAATCTAAATCTGTTAAAATAATTAAATATTTTGGCCGTAAAACATTCCAATTTAAATCCATTTAAATTTGACTCAAGAGAGCTAGTTGAAATAAATTTAGGCCCGACTCGGAGGTCTGTTATTTACGTATCTGAGTTCCAGATGGGCGCCGCCACAGAGAATGTCGCCAGCGAATTGTCTTATAGGACTCTGTGGGAGCGTATGCCTGAGGCTATTGGTGGCAGAATCGTAAGTACCTAAGCCATGGAGCGCGCTGAAAAATGTACCCAAATAATTTAAGCACCTTTTTAAGAACTATACCCTGCATCCATACAATTTAACTGGATTTTTCTGTGAGAAGGTAATTTGATTTCCATCAAATTGAATGAGAATAGTTTTTTTTAAAGGCAGAAAATTAGCATGATAATTAGTCTAAATGTTTATACATGTTAAGCTTCTTAGGTGTTTGCTGTTGTAAAAATCAGAAAAAGTCAAAACAGATATGCATCACGGTGTCTAAAAGAGAATAACCACATCCTAAACTATTTAGTACCTGAAGTTTAATAAAGGTTAATCAATGTGCTGTTATGTTCAGATCCAACATTAGTGGAAGTCAAAACTTTTATAAGTAAAAAAAAATATAAGTAAATATTTTTGCTTTCTGGTCACAAGGATGAAAAGATGGCTCTAAAAGGCAAGTAACCACTTTAAATTGCATTGGGCACTTGGGCACTTGGATAACTGACATGTTATCATCAATTGGTAAAAATTCAAATATAGATATTTTTCTAAATCAAATATGCATGTTTGACATCATATTTGGTGACCTGTTTCCTTCTCTTTTCACTATATAAATTGATCCTACATTTGTTGCAATATATCAAATCATTAACCTCCCTCCCTCACCTCCCTCCCTCCTTCCTTCCTTCCTTCCTTCCTTCCTTCCTTCCTTCCTTCCTTCCTTCCTTCCTCTTGTTGAAATTAGAAGTACATATCAAATTCAAATACATACTTATGCATATAATATGGGTTACAACACTGCAGTGATGGTGATGACGCAGAACAAAGCAACTTTTGAAAACCTAAGACAAGCATTGTGGAAAAGGGACTATCCATATATCCCATTTCTGGAAACTAATCAACAAATAAAATGCAAAAGCATTCTCAAAACAGAAGCAAAATGAAGAGGCTTGGAAAAAACAGAGCTAAATAAAAAGGTTTGGAAATTATTTTATAAACATCAATCTCCTCAAATGTTGATTACTATTAATTAAAGACTCGGAAAGTCATTTTTCTTTTTTTAAACTTGGTTGCATTTCAGGCTTATTCTGAAAAGGTTTTCTGAATTCCACAGCTACTTTAGCTGGGAATTCTGAAGACTGCAATATTCAAAATCTGGGAAATATGATTTTTTGCAAAGCAGCTCTCTACACACTATAAAATGTGCTCTCAGTTTTCACTGCTGAGGCATAAGCTTCTTAGCACTGCTGTTATTGCTTTAACAGATGATTTTAATTTTCTGTGTCTGAAGTTAAAAGCAAAGAATTTTGCACCTTGGTAAGGGCGCCATTACTTTTAATACTGATATCATTAGTTATGGAACTAATAATTAACCATGGGCATATGGCTGTGCCCACTTCACCGCAGGCCCTCCTGCTGCAGGCAACCCATCAAGGGCATTTATCATCTGCTGGCCCTCTATCAGCATTTTCCCCTGCCATTGGTCCCCCACCCCCTAGTCTCAGACAATTCACAGAAGGACAATTTCTTCCTGGCCAACTGGCTGCATGGGACAAATAACTGCCCACCTGTCATGGCCCTGTCGGAGCCTGAGTCTATGGAGGAGGAGGAGCCAAAGCTGGGGCCAACGGAGGAAGAGGGTGCAGCCTCGTTGGCTCTGGAGGAATGACTGGAGGAGCAGGATGAGCCAGCCCTGGTCCCTTGGGCGTGGGAAGGATTGCCAGCAAGGAAAAATGGATGCAGGATGACCAAGAGAGTGGGGAAGAGAGGGCAGGCAGTGGAGCAGAGGAGCAATGGCACTCTAGCGGTGAGCAAGGACTGCTCCTTCCTGATCCCCAAGCACAGAGAGTGGAGAGGAGGCAGGAGCAGCGTAGGCTGACCCGACTACTCAGGAAGAGAGCACCCCACCACTCTTCAAAAGGCTCACCTGAGGACTGAGACTTAAGGAGGCACCATTGGGAGGGGCATTTGTCGGGAACAAGCGTTGAATCCATGGAGCCTCATGTGCAGTTGCCAACGTCTGGATTTTGCCGTGCTTTGTCTTGTGTGCCTTGCCCGGTTTCCCTGCCTTGCTGGACTTCTTGCCTTGGTTTCTGCCTTGCTAACTTTACTTCCTGGACTACTCGCAGCCAGAGGCTGTCGGAGATGCATGTGAAAGCTTTGCTTGAGAACTTGCAGTAGACGTGGGGATGTTTGGGAGAAAGTTGGAGCCAGAGGTAGTATTCAGCAGGTTCTGACAGGTTCTGGAGAACTGGTAGTGGAAATTTTGAGTAGTTCAGAGAACCGGTAAATACCACCTCTGACTGGCTCCAGCCCCATCTATTCTCTGCCTCCCGAGTCCCAGCTGATCGGGAGGAAATGGGGATTTTGCAGTAACCTTCCCCTGCCACGCCCACCAAGCCACGCCCACCAACCATGCCAAACCCACTGAGCCATGCCCACAGAACCGGTAGTAAAATATTTTGAATCCCACCAGTGGTTGGAGCAATAAAGGGGAGTTAGAATTGTTCTCTGGCTGTGTTGCTTCCGTGCCTAGCCCTGGGTCATCAAACCATCCCAGCAGCCAATCAGCTATCAGGAGAAGCTGAAAGTGCATAGGGGATAAAAGTGAAGGGGCTATGGCTTGCCAGATGAATTTCCTCCATGCCAGGGAGTTGCCCGTGTAGAATGTGGCTGACTTGCTGGGAAAACCAATACAGAATATTGCTGTTTTGTTGGAGAATGTTTTCTCTCACTGCTCTGCCATTCCTTGCCTTGCAAGAGAAGACGGCCCAGTTTTCTCCCCGCCAAAGATTTGACACTAGTGCCTGCCTGGGTGGGTAGTTAAAGGGAAGCACAAGTGTTATTACCACCCCTCCTCTCTCTCTTTCTCTTCAACTTGCGTGCACTCTAATTGGCTTGTTCTCCTACACTTTTCTTCCAGGGGAAAAGAAAGAAGTGCTTATGATTTCTTAAAGGGCGTGCCCAGGTTATATACCTATTTTCATTTGTCATTTTTACAAACAACTCAAAGCAGCAAACATATCAAACACATCTTCCTCTGATTTTCCCCACAGGAATCCTGTGAGGTGGCTTGGGTTGAGAGAGAGCGAACTTGCCCAAATTCTCCCAGCTGGCTTTCATGGTTAAGGCAGGACTCGAACTCATGATCTCCTGCTCTCTAGCCTGGTGCCTTAATCACTAGACCAGACTAGCTATGCAGTATGTACAGTTATTGCCTAATCTTCATCAGTGGTAAGAAAGCCTTAGGCCTTTCCATGATAGATATTATCGAATCAATTTATACCTGTGGAGTTAATATGCAATATTTGGGACTTTGCTTTCTTACAGTTAAAATATCTTACATGTTCATCAATAATCCACTAGTTTCAGAAAGGGATGAAGTGACTTGCAACTTCTCAGAGCAAAGCTGATCTTCTGTATGCCTTTGGAGCAGGTAGAAGAACACTGAGATTCATACAAGTTCCATATTATTGCCTCACTGAAGGAAAATTGGATAGAATACTTTAACAGAATGTAAGACAACAAAATCGAGTGGCCCACTTTACACTTAATGGAAAGCATCAATTGCTTTTCAAATCAGAGAAATTGGATATGAATACTTCAGAGGGTATTGTTCCTTCTTTCAAAACATTGATACAAAGGTCAGTATTGATCTAAGGCTAACACAAGCATTGTAGAAAGGCTTACTGTAAGTGAAAGCTTAGCGAAAATAAAAATTCTTCTTTGTGATATCACTAACACTGTACAAAACAGATTCAAAACACATCTAAACCCTTGGAAAGGTGAATGAAAAAAGTAAACTGAAAGTAAAAATTTCTTAAGTATTGAACAAAAAGTTTGAGAGCCAAGGTGATGATGACAACTACAACAATACAAATTCTAATAAGTAGCAATAGTAGTGATACTATTAGATTTAAGAATGACGCAGAAAAATACAATTGTAATAGTTATAACAATCATGGAAAAAGTCTTATTATTGTGGTGACAGTGATGTGTATGCATGGTACTTTTTTGTAAAGGTATTCCAGATTAAACTAAATGAGAAATAAGAGCCAGTTTGGTTTGTAGTCTAGTAGTTAAAGCACCAGGCTAGAAGCCCAGATATTGTGAGTTCCAATCCTGCTTTAAGCATGAAAGCCAGCTGAGTGATCTTGGACCAGTCATTCTTTATTAGCCCATCTCAGAATTGTTGTTGTGGGGAAATTAGGAGGCGGAAGGAATATTAGGTGTGTTTGCCACCTTGAATTATTTATAAAAATAATAAAGATGGGATATAAATTAATAAATAAAAGAAGGGAACGGTGATCTCATCTACTCTCACTTTGTAAACTTAGTGTGTCTGAAATCTGACCAGGATTGTAATATCAGTGAGGGCAGGATGGATTCATAATCCTTATCCATGAAATTTATTTATTTATTTATTTATTTATTTATTTATTTATTTATTTATTTATTTATTTATTTATTTAATTTATTTGATTTATTTATTTATTTGATTTATATGCCGCCCTTCTCCGGAGACTCAGGGCGGCTTACAATGCATTAAGCAATAGCCTTCAGCCTTTTGTATATACCTGCTTAGTAGGGCTTTTTTGCCCCCCCCCCAAAGCAGTGTTCTATTTTATACAAAGTCCTCATTTTACCTACCTTGAAAGGATGGAAGGCTGAGTCAACCTTGAGCCTGGTGAGAATTGAACTCGCAGTAATTGCAGGCAGCTGGCAGCTAAATGCTACTTTTAACAGTAGTTTAGTCTGCTGCGCCACCAGGCTCCTAGTATACCACATTAGATCAGGGATGAGTTCTACTTACCTTTACTACCGGTTCGCAATGGAAGCGCGCATGCGCATGCGCAGATCGTCAATTATGAGGTCTGAGCAGGTGGGCGGAGCTTCCTGCCACTTTTACTATTGGTTCTAAAGAACCGGACAGAACTGGGAGCAACCCACCACTGCATTAGATACTTGCACTCTTGCTTCTGTCACTAATGACTGTTGTCATAGATCATTGTGACATATTGTATATATCCACAATATAATCTTTACAGTATAATGAAATAATTGGAAACATTGGGCATTGCCCAGTCATACTTTCCTTACTTTACTTTGTGGTAGGGAAAGAAAGAAATAAAAAGGGAGAAAGGAAGAGTGTGCTTGCTCCAACCAAAATATGAATATATATGAATCCCATATAGTGTAGTTAAACATGTACCTCAATGATACGGTCAGGGCAAGATACATTGCTGTCTAAAACAAAAGACAAACTGGTGCATACACCCCAGGGGTGGCATTCACTGACTTTTCCTACCGGTTTGCAAATGTGAGCGCATGTCCATGCATGCACCCGCCCTTCCGTGCATGTGCTTTGCTGCCACCTGCCCTTCCGCACATGTGCTTTGCTGCTGCCTGCGCCTTCTGCACATGTGCCTGGCCTCAAAAGCGTGCCTAAATAGCATGACTTGGACCAAGGGTGGGTGGGTGGGCCCACCTCCAATTTCCGCTACCAGTTCAGGTGAATCGTTCTGAACCGGCTGAATACCACCTCTGATGCACTCTCTATTTGAACTCATTGTTCCTCCAGCTCAATAGGAGGTCTTAAAGATAACCAGACTCCAACCCATTTAGGGTTCCACATGGAAACAAACCAGTAACCAAACCAGTAATACAATTTCCATAAAGAAAGCTGTAACATGACAATAATGAGGTTGAACAGGTATCAAATGGGCAACTAGATTCTGCACCAGTGGAAGCTCCCAGATTGTTTTCAAAAGCAGCCCCAAATATAGCAAACTACACTAGTCCAATTGATGTGAGCTTAAGATATAGTAGTCAGTATATACTTACTTGGTTGAATTTGGACAAAGACCTTCTTGTCTATGGATTTCACCCACTTTTTAAGTAGGAGCCATGAGTTTAGAAATACTGCCAAATTTGGAGTTTTCTCAGGTCAAAACCTTCACCCACATCTCCACTTTCATTTGGTCAAATTGGAGATGGTATGACATTGACTTCTCCCAGTAGCTTCATGCACAGTAGATGTTAAAGAAATGTCTTCATATGAAACTCAAATAATGGCAACCTAGATGGATATTCTTAATGAGGATGCTGCTTCTGTAATAACCTTGAGTTTTGATATTGATGAATTCTGAGAAGTGCATTTTTGTACAAAATAGTTCTTAAAACATGTCACTCATGTAAGTTGAGAACAATGAATGGCCTTAAAGATTAAAGGTAGCATTTTAAAGTAACTGGTATGAATAGGCAATCTGGTGTCCTTGAAAAGTTTTGCAGAGAATTATTGCCACTCCTTGTCAACCAGTATGCAGACAAGGGCTGATTATAACCAGGTTCAAAATTCTGAAATATATTAGGTTGCCATCTCTAAAGACACTTAGCCATCTGAATTGTTGCTATTCTCTACAGCAATCTCTTCTGCTGCATAGCAGTCTAAACAGAATGTTACTAAAACATAGATTAATAACAGTCCTTGTACAGGAGAAATAACATCAAGTTCACCCAATTTTAGTGAAAACATTCACTGACTGAGAACTTTCTAGCTCACCTTGAACAGGTAGAGGTTAAATCCAGCCTTCCTGGGCAAGGAAACATTTCATTGTTTCATTTTTTAAAAAATTCTCTTCCAGCCCATTACTGGACTCTGACAATGACTTAGCTTTTCCAGGCCTTCATTTAATTAGGAAGCATTCAGAAACAAATGAGACATTGCCTGATTTTTACTGACATTTCCTACTAAATATCCAGATGATCTCTTCCAGTTATTTCACACAGGTGTAAATTATCATGAAGGCCAAGATGTAACCTACAGATATCCACTGCACATATCAAGGTTTAAAAATGAGAGAACTACCATATCATCAGGTACTTGACTTCTAGACACCATGATTGATTTTATGAAATCCTAGTGAGAGATCAAGACAAATTAAGAGGACCACATACTTTGTGATATAGGCAATCTCTCTTGTTGAACCAATCTTAAATGGAATTGACTGCAATGAGTTTATGGACTGTGCATCAGCCAAGAAACCATGAATATGCAGTGTACCTTGTCCCAAAAAAGAGGCTTGTCACTGCTTTTCTGCATGCATAGTAGTATTTCATGACTGCACTGCCTTTTTACGAACCACTGAAACCATTTTGTTTGCTAAAGAGAGATCCATCTCTCCCATGAACTTCCTTAGCTAGCCCTTCTCAACCAACAACTGCAAAGCAGTGGTGGTTTGCAATATTTTATCAAGAATCTTGACAGCTCAGCTGATGAGATGGTTAGTTTGTGGGAGGAAATGATACACCAAGAATGAAAATTTAAACCCTAAGATCTCAACAAAATACAAATACTGAAATATTGGCTGCTTAACAGATCTGAGCCATGTCCATCCTATATTCATTATAGAGTACATTAGAAAGGTACTGATTCCTTTCAGTATCTCTAACAATCTTGAAATCAGGTGAGATCCTTGTACTACAATCAAGTCATAGACAATTATGACAATTCAGTCTTAGACAAGACTAAAGTGTATTCAACACTAGCATGTTGCTAGCAACACTACATAATTCAGGAGCAAGTTGTCAAGACAATTCAATTTATCAAGGTAGAGAGAACTGGAAAAATTGTAACAGTTCTTCTTCTTCTTCTTCTTCTTCTTCTTCTTCTTCTTCTTCTTCTTCTTCTTCTTCTTCTTCTTCTTCTTCTTCTTCTTCTTCCACTTGCCTTACTCTATGTCAGTGGTTCTCAACCTTCCTAATGCTGCAACCCTTTAATACAGTTCCTCATGTTGTGGTGACCCGCAACCATAAAATTATTCCTAAAACCATTGAAAATATGTGTTTTCCGATGGTCTTAGGCGAGCCCTGTGAAAGGGTCATTCGACCCCCAAAGGGGTCCCGACCCACAGGTTGAGAACCACTGCTCTGTGTAGTTTTCTTGGCAAAGTCTTTTGGAAATGGTTGCCATTGCCTCCTTCTTAGGGCTGAGAAAGAGTAACTGGGCCAAATTAATACAATTGGGTCAATCACTGCACTACCTTCCACCTCCAAGGTAGGACTAGAACTCACAATCTCCCATTTTCTAGTCTAATGCCTTAACCACTAAATAAAACAGGCTCCCATTTGATTTTATAGATATAAATTGATATTATAAAAAATACATTTTCTCATCCCCTGAACTATCTGATTATATTTCTGTGGTTAGAAGGTATAATCACCAAAAATATTGGTGCAGTTTTCCACTGTAGCATAATATGGAACAGGAGCAGCCATCCAGCTAATCACTACCACCACCGCTACAAATTATTCCTGACAAAGCCAACATGAAACCCACACATTTTGTATCATGACGGAACCTCTACAGTGTCCTTCGCATCTCCTCTCTCAAAAAAATTGAAAAGGGTCCTGGTCTAAGATAGATGGTATGGCAAGCTGAAAACCATAGATCACAAAGCAGAAATGAACTCTGTCTTCCTAATGCCTTTCTGATTAATATTTAGTTGACTTGGTAAAACTCAAGAATGGAATTTGAAAGGTCAGGGGCTAATTCATCATGTCATCTGTCACAAAAAGAAAAATGTTAAACAAATAAATGTTGTGGAGAGACTACTGAGCTTTCCCTGATTGGAAGATTCTATGTGGTCTAAAAGTGTTGACCCTTTCCTTTCCTTTCCTTTCCTTTCCTTTCCTTTCCTTTCCTTTCCTTTCCTTTCCTTTCCTTTCCTCTCCTCTCCTCTCCTCTCCTCTCCTCTCCTCTCCTCTCCTCTCCTCCTTCCCCTACCCCTTCCCTTCCCCTCTCCCTCCCTCCCTCATTCCCTCCCTCCCTCCCTCCCTTCCCTGATAGAGCTCATTGAAGGAATAACTTCATTTTTTTTACACTTCTAAGGGTGGGAGGGAATTCCCACCCCTCACTACAGCTATATATATATATAAATAAATCCATCTTCTGCAGGGATCTGAACAGCACTACCTTCATATTGTTGTGACACTGACCAGTATTTTAAAGTAAGAGAGTGGGGGAACAAGGCACCTTGATGGGGTAGATGAAAGGAATAAAGGAAAACCCGTCCCCAGGAAAAAAAATACTAATTTTTTAATGGAAAAAGACATAACTTGGTAGGTAAGCATCCTCATAAATTCCAAAAACAAAAAAAGGGGGCAGCTCTTAATGATACACTTAGAGCAAATCATTTGTCTTGAGAGACAAGCAGTCTCTGGTGACCTGTGTGAGAGCCACCAGAGACTAGCAGCCTAGCTACTTTCAGCTAAATGTACTCTCATATTAATATTTTAAAATGCCATAATGCTTCTCTGTAAACCTCGGAGGACAGATACATCAATTTACGAGGTCTTCACTCCAGGAAATAGAAACAGGGATAATCTGCCATTAAAAGAAATAGTTCATTATGCCAGCTTCTTGGGAGCACATAAACTATGTCCCAAACATATTTAAGTTGCTAATCCTCCCTTTAATGGGAACGGTCTGGGGCATTTTTGTCCCTCCTCCTTGTTTATCAGTACAAAAGGTTTGTTGCGGTATGAAATTTTAAGCTCATCACAGTGATCAATCAGCTTCAAAGGGAGATGTTACCCTCAGCCAGAAATCATTACTGATCCATCAATTAAACATAAAGTTTCTATTTTCAGAATGACTTGCAGTACAAAGGACTGGCAATGCATCATAGTTGAAGGCAACAATTTTACCGGTGGGGCTTCTGTTATTATAGGCTTCCTCCATTACTTTTCTTTCTTTCTTCCCCCTTAGTCTACATTTATGTTCCTTCTTGTTTCAGTAACATACAGAATATTTTTTTTATTGTATTCTTAGGAAGAAAACAACAAAAGAGAAGAAAACACATTTTCACAGGAAGATGAAAATGGACAGTATCACACTTTATTAGAAGGGGAGAAAGTGGCAGAGAGATTCATTAGCATCCTTTCCTTTGGGTTGGCATGTACTGTTGACTGTTGATGTGCTGATGCTAACTCTGCAAACACTTTTCCTGACATAGGTCAAAGCCCCTGTTGAGCAACCAAATTACAACTATGTAGGATTAGATGCTTTTAAAGCTGGTATATGCATTGTCTTTTTCATACTTGCATACCCATCTGGTGTCTTGGGCCATGAACGTCAACCAAGAAGCCCAGGCCTGCAACAAAGGAGTCCCTCAAATGGCCAAACAGAGAATGGCTGATAGTTACAATATATAGCTGTGAATCAACTACTGAGTGTATTTCAGCCTTCCATATCCTCAATATCTTCATGGGGATCAAGTTCTTTATGTAGGAGGAGTGAAAGAAACTGGCGGTGGAGTTAAAAAAGGGATCAGGCTAGAATCTCTATGTCCAAACCCCTCTCCGTTGGATTCCATTGACCCATAACCAGCTCCAACGGGTGCTAACCATTTGTTGAGAAGATTCCTGTGCATAGGCTTTTTAGCAACAAAGTTCTCTAATTAGACCTTCACATGTGGACCATCCTCACTCAGCTCCTATAAGCTAAAGATATACTAATGATCTAGACAATTTTATGAGTCTTTGAGAATTATATGAATGAGAAGAGCCATGGTGGCACAGTGGTTAGAATGCAGTACTGCAGGCTACTTCTGCTGACTGCCAGCTGCCTGCAATTTGGCAGATTGAATCTTACCAAGGTTGACTCAGCCTTCCATCCTTCCAAGGTGGGTAAAATGAGGACCCAGATTGTTGGGGGCAAGATGTTGACTCAGTAAACCGCTTAGAGAGGGGTGTAAAGCACTGTGAAGTGGTATATAAGTATATAAGTGCTGCTATTGCTATTGCTATTGCTATTTTATGCCAGTGAGATGTACAACCATGATGATAAGCAATTGACTATAGCGATTTCACTGTTACTTGCAGCTCAGCTAGAGAAAGAAGATCCTTTTAGTGCTACTTTCCATTACCCCATTTAAATCTATATGGTGTCTGCCACAGGATATAGGAAAATATAATATTTCATGAGAAAAGGGAAGAAAAAATAGAAGGAAAAAGGAAAGTGAAATGAATTGAAATAAATTGTACTCCTCCTCCTCCTGAAACCAGTTGAGGGGTCACAGTCAATATGGAACTGAAGTGGGCATACCAATTACCTCTTGAAAAAGAAGGGACAAATTAATTTGGCCATTTTGGATTAGCCCTTCTTGGTTTGTTTCCTATTTCATCAAATATGGTCAGGCGTGGGGCTTTGGACAGGAATAATAGTGTATCAGAAGAGCAAAATTGTTACCTTCTCTCAATTTTATTGTTGACTAATCTGAAGGAGAAGGAGAAAGGAGAGGAATTATGGTTTGTTGCACATTCATTCTGATGTTCAGACTGGATTTGGCATTTTTATCCACTATTGAGCCCTTCCAAGGACTTGGGATAAGTAGATGCCCCTGTTTGATGGTGTTAAAAGTATCATTGCAGGAAGTAAGCTTTTCTGCGTAGAGCTGCCTTTTGCAATTGCCTGATGGTGATTTTGCCAGTGCCAATGGTGTTCAATTGGTACTCCAGTTGTTATTATTATATACGCAACAATTTGAAATCACAGCTGCCAGTTCTTTAGCTGGTATTGGTCTTCATACACATATTGGCAGCAGGAACAGCAGCTTCAGTTGTTTTCAGGTTTCAACTTAAGGATATGCCTTAATTACACTAGCTCTGAGATTTCCAGGAAATAGAAAATTTACTCATTACTAATTTCTGCACATTTGCCTGTCATCCTGCAGAATTACTTGCTTCTTTCAATGAACAAATGTGTTATTCTCTCTTTTTTTCAATTAGGAACACTCTGCACTTGGCTGCTAATGGCAAGGTTACAGAAGCTACAGAAGTTCCAATAAATGATTAAAAGAAGAAGAAGAAGAAGAAGAAGGAGAAAGCATTATAGTTTTACAGATGCTTTGGCTTTCCCATCCCTTCCTTTTATCAATATTGAATCACCACATCATTTCTATTTTTAAACTTTCAAGAAATCATGATTGGAATTCTTTCTCTTTAGGCTATCCTGTCATCTCACATTTTACTCATGTTTTTCGGAACAACTGATGCTTCAAGAAGCAGGAAACAAATTACAAGTTTAGAAATAGTCACAGGGCATTGCCCCATTCTTGGTATCATTCTGGTTGACTTTGCAATGATACTGTGGCTATTTAGTGCTAAGAATATGATTTGTGGATTTTTTTTTTTTTTGCTGGCAGATGCACATAAATCATTGACTTTCCATCAATCATTTCACACCTGTCTTTAGGTGAAGCTATGTTTGTGCATGAATCACTATATGCATGAATCATATAATGTGTATTACGCTGAAATACAGAGATGCCTGGAAACTAATAATCCATTTCTCTTTCCCTAATTTTGGACACAAAATGCAGATTTGTACTCCATAAAATTATACATAAACTTATATAATATATATAATATATAAAAATTAATCTAGTTTAACTGGATCAATGGATAAGAATATAAACTGACCACATTTTATGAAAATTTATCTATTTATCTATCTATCTATCTATCTATCTATCTATCTATCTATCATCCATCTATCTATCCATCCATCCATCCATCCATCCATCCATCCATCCATCCATCCATCATCTCTCTCTCTCTCTCTCTTTCTCTCTCTCTCATCTATATCTACTATTAAAGTTCTTTTGTATGGTTTAGATTACTTTTTCCCTTTTGTTTCCTTAATGACTTGGTTCATTCTTAACTAGTTCTCTAAAGGATATTTTCCTGACTGTTGTCCATACTGCTTATGTGCTTGCTTCAATTTTAGGTATGGCAGCTTCAGGCTAGCTTCAGGCTTTCCTCCTTCCCTCTTTCATTTTCCTAGTCAAGCAAGTGATTCCATAAAGATTTTATTGCCTATCTAGGGCAGTGTTTCTCAGCAACATTAAAATGCATGGACTTCAATCCCAGAATTCCCCAATCCATCATGCCAAGGTTAAAAAAAAAAAAGCTGATCTGTAGATTGTAGGGGTCTGATTGAGAAAGTACAATTTTGGCTCAATCCTAGATAAGACCAAGTGGCTGTGAGGTTTAGGTCCTCAGAGGTTTCTGGGTACAATTAATATCTATAAAGGCTTTCATTGCACAAAGTTCTGTGCAATGTCTGATTAGTTCTGTTTGTCCCATTAGTTTTGTTTGTTTCACCTGATCTGACAGGTTCTGGTCCCTTCTATTGATCAATGCCACCTGACTCACAAAGGTACCTTTGCCAAGGTACCAACTCTGTGGAAGAATTTGTTCCCTAGATTCAGATGCCCTCAGTCTTATTGATCTAATATAAGGCTCTTAAAATTGGAGAAGACGTTGTGTTTAATATAGAAACCTTAGAAAGAAGAATATGCTTAGATTTAGTCAGTGGTGAAATTCAAAAATTTTTTACTACCGGTTCTGTGGGTGTGGCTTGGTAGGCATGGTGTGGCTTGGTGGGCATGGCTTGGTGGGCATGGCAGGGGAAGGATACTGCAAAATCTCCATTCCCATCCCACTCTGGGGCCAGCCAGAGGTGGTATTTGCTGGTTCTCTGAACTACTCAAAATTTCTGCTACCGGTTCTCCAGAACCTGTGAGAACCTGCTGAATTTCACCCCTGGATTTAGTGCAAACTGTGCCTCATGAGCCTATTGAGATGTGGCATACTTCTCTCAAATGACTAGGCATCAGATATTAATACCATTATGCAAATTTGAGTAGAAAATTAGCTTTGTTCTGTTCCAAGTATATGAAGTTGTGATGTATTGCAAATGTTCTGTAATGATTTATTTTCTCTCTGTCTTGAGCAGTATTAATATGAAAGGGAAAAATGAACTTATGTTCCCCAGCTTCAGAATATGTATAGGTTTTGTAGTAGTTTGAGAGAACATTGTAGGCACAATTGCCCCTGGTATCAGGGAGATTCATGGTTCTCCTATGGCACACCTCCTTTTATCTTTTTTCACATATTTCTGGTGTTGCAAATACCACCTTTTGAAATGGGGGAGGCAGAAAGCAGATTGTTCCTCCACCCCAGTGGTGGAATTCAAATTTTTTTTACTACTGGTTCTGTGGGTGTGGCTTGGTGGGCATGGTGTGGCTTGGTGGGCATGGCAGGGGAAGGATACTGCAAAATCTCCATTCCCACCCCACTCTGGGGTAGTGGGATTTGCCAGTTCTCCAAACTACTAAAAATTCCTGCTACCGGTTCTCCAGAACCTGTCAGAATCTGAATTTCACCGCTGCCCCATCCACAGTGAGGTCAAAGCTCCTTGTCAGACCTCAGTAATGGAAAATCAGATTTTGAAAGAACTGTGGTTAAAAACCATGGTGGCACAGTAGTTACAATGCAGCATTGCAGGCTAATTCTGCCATCTGCCAGCAGTTCGATTTTCACTGGCTCAAGAGTAACTCAGCCTTCCATCCTTCTGAGGTCGGTAAAATGAAGACTCAGATTGTTGGGGCAATATGCTGACTCTGAAAACCACTTAGAGAAGGCTGTAAGGCACTGTGCAGTGATATATAAATCTAAGTACTATTGCTACCAGACCAGAAATCAGGAGACTGTGATAGTTATGAAAGCCTTAAGTATGAAAGTTGGCTGGGTGACACTGGGCCAGTGACTATTTCTCAAGCTTCTTGTTGTAAGAAAAATAGGAGGATCCAGAGTATGTTTGTTGATCTTCAAGTATTTATAAAAATAATAAAAGTAGGATTAAAAAAATGAAATAGAAAGAAATGCTTAAGAATGTTCAAAATGCAAATACTGGTCATCTATAAAGAAATATTGTAAAGTAATTTATATTATCTTACCCTATTTCAGATGAATATTAGAGTTGTAAGTACAGTATTATGCTCTCTATGCAATTTGGGAATATGTCTCATTAATCTCTATATCATTTATAAGGAAGACATACAATAGAATGTGTCATTACTAATATACAATGTTTCTTCAAACTAAGGTTTCTAAGTATTGAAATGCTTGGGGGAAAAAAACTTCGAGATTTCTCTTTAAATATTCAGGGAAGATTCCAATAGTAGAATATGATCTTCTTCTTGTGCCATATTCGCCATCGGACATTGGCGATCATGTAGGCCATCCTATTTTTGTCAACAGCCACATGAAAGAGTGCTGCTGAGTTTTGTCCAAACCAGTCCCTTAGATTTTGAAGCCATGATGTTCTTCTTCTGCCTGGACCTCGTTTGCTTTCAATCTTTCCCTGGAAGATTAAGTGAAGGATGCCATAGTAGAATAGGAAAGAATTCTTTATCGGCCAAGTGTGATTGGACACACAAGGAATTTGTCTCCAATGCATAAGGTCTAAGTGTACATACAAAGTGATATGTCGTAGATCATAAACCATAAGATACAATAATAAATCATAAGATTCAAATAATAAGTGATAAATCATAAGATACTAATTGAAGATAGTAGGAAAGATGAGGCGAGAAAGATGAAAAGACGACACGGTTAATAGCAATAGAGTCTACTACATGGGTAAATATCTTTAGGCATAAGACAGTGGGAGTTAGGTGTTTAGCAGTGTGATTGGTACATATATATTTATGTGTGTGTGTGTGTGTGTGTGATTAATCTGGACTGACTTTCAGTCTATGTTCTGCCCCACTTCCAAGTCAAATATTACTTTTTAAATTCTGACATAATCTAAAACATATGTGACTCCATATGTTTCTGGTCTTCAATTTCCAGCAGCTCACAGCCTAAGGGTGGTGAGACTATTAGTGAAGCAACATATGCATGATCTCTTCAAATTCTTCATGAAAGGTGGGAAATCCTGGGAGTGCAGATCAGAGATGTGACAAAACAGTTACCAGCTTGTCAAGCCCACGGATGGACATCTGTTGCTACCTATCTTTTTTTTTTTTTATCTGTAAGTGCTACATTATGATCTTTTTAAAAAAATTACATGTATACATTGGGTTTGAAGCTCTAGAAATGAAAATGACAAATCTGGGAAATCAAATAGCATGATAATCTAGTCTTCCAGTTCAAGGAAGAGAATTAAAAGAATGATGATATACACAATGTCAGCTACCTGTCAAAAAATGTTAAACAGAAATCTTTTAAATCGAAGAATACAATGAGCCAGTGGTTTGGACGATAGCCTAACAGTTCAGCAATATCTTATTCAATTGTATTTAGTTATTTCTAATTTAAAGATAATGTTCAGAATCATACAACTACACTCAAATGAATACAATTCCAAGAGATTTTTGTCCAAATTCTACATTGTTTATTCCTGGTATCAAGTAAATCTTTTCCCCAAATACTTTTGAATATTTCATTTTTTTTCTACAGCTTCTCTCCCCCCTCCCCCCTCTCTCCTGCATTACTGTAGGTTTTATTTTATTTCTTTTTTTATTATTATTAATTTTTTATTAGTTACATTTCTTAGTGATTAATAAACATTGTGCTGTCTGGGCATTAAATTTGCTTAATAACACATATTACATTCTTAATCTCCACTCCAACCACTGATAAAATTGATTCCATGTTTGATAATATACTGAATCTTCTTTCTGTTTCATTTTTAATCTCAGCCTGTCCATTTCTGCACACTCTAGTATCTTCTTAATTATTTCTTAATCTCATAGTGTTTCTTTATTTTTCCAGCATTGCACAAATACAACCTCGCTGCTGTCAAAACGTGCAATATTAAATGCATACTTTTCTTATCATGTTTACCTGATATTATACCTAATAAAAATATTTCAGGTTTAAAATCTACATGCTGATTTTATTCAATTTCTATCAGGTTTAATTTATTCAGATTTCTGGGAGAAATAGAAATGTGACAAACAACTGGCTAGGAGCAGTTGTTGAGAAATAGGCAGCCCGAGAAGAGGAGACATCCAGACTGGCCTCAGATTCAAAAGATTTGATGGACATTCAACTTGGATCATGTCATTTTAAGCAGAGGAACTTTCTAGCATCAAAAATTATTTTTGTCTCAGGCTATCCAGCAAAGTTCATGACAGAGCTGAATGTGGGGAATTTGTAGTTCATAGTTCAGCTTCTTTGGCCAGTGTCCTATAGCAGTATAAGGAAATATGCATAAGGGGAACAAATGGTTTTCAAATATTAGACAATAGTGACATGCATTGGACATCACTCAAGAAAGGATCAAGGGGCACAAAGAGAGAGAGAGAAATAAATAGGCTTAATGTCCTTTTTCATCTCTTCACAAGGACAGCCATATATGTAATCAAAGCATTATAATTGCAAACACTTTGTATAATTACAGTCTCCCATTTTGAATTTTAAAAAATGCACAGTGAATAATAAACAAACATGATGAACAGGTACAGACTTACTCAGAGTCACAAAGGTCA